GACCCTCTACTTTACCAAGCATGATGTCCTTCTCCAGGGACTGGTCCCTCCTGATAACATGTCCAAAGTATGTGAGACAAAGTCTCGCCATCCTTGCTCTTCTGTCCTTCACTAGATTTGGATGAGTATTGTTTCTCCAACTAGAGTTTAGGCTTTCTGAAAGTCCAGCAAAGAGCTAAGCTTATGAAGTGTGTAAGATGATGAAATTTCACTGAATTTCACAGTAGAAGTCCTTATGCATATATAATAATGACAAATTATTATTTGAATACTTCTACATAAAAAAGTGTTTTAAATGTGCTTGAAATTTGTTATCTTGGAAAGTTTGACGAAATACCCCTCAACATAGTTTGCTGCTTAAATTTGCTTAGGAAACCGTTTTCTTATATACTATGGGAGTCAATGGAAATTCAGATCAAAATTTTATCCTGGGAATGTGTTTTGCTCCTCTGAGTTGCATTTTTGTATGTGGCTTAGAACAGCATTGTGTGTGGGAAGTAGGTGATTTAGACCATCACTGCCTTTGCAATTCTCTTGTTTTGTTTAATGTTCCTGAACTCTAATGTACCCTTTCTCATCAGCAAAGGAAAAGATGTAGGTACCTGCAAGGATGAGGTCCTGGACAGGGCCAAACCGTTCAGCAGCTTGTGAAACCTTCTCAGAGATGAATGGTGGGAAGCCCCATAAAGTTCTTTGTCGGCTTGCAAATTGCTGTCACCTTGGTTAAATTAAAGAACTTTTGCTTTTATTACAAGAAAAAGTACCCTCTAATTTGCAGAGAAACAGCATTTTAAAAATAAAGGAGGAAGAAATACCAAAGTAACAATGTGTCACTTAGGTTTTTACCCCTCTGTCAGCAATGTAAGGAGCACTGGTGGCACAGTGGTTAAGCGCTTGGCTGCTAACTGAAAAGTTGGTGGTTTGAACCCACCAGCTGCTCCATGGAGAAAGATGTGGCAGTCTGCTTCCGTAAAGATTTATAGTCTTGGAAACCCTATGGGGCAGTTCTACTCTGTCCTATAGGGCCACTATAAGTCCAAATCGACTCGATGGCAGTGGGTTTGGTTGGTTTTTGGCATCAGCAATATGATAGACTAATTAATGACATATTTCTGCTTCAGAGTCCCTTTCATCTGTGTGTGGTTTGAGGTTACTGCACCGTCGACAGAAGCGGATCATTGGTGGGAAAAATTCTTTAAGGTAAAAGGTTCTTCAGAAGAGATTTTTCGTATTACACATTATTTGTATACATATAGAGTTACAAATTTAGAGTTGTCTACTATTATATAAGGGTTTTATTTTATCCACTTTATTTTCTAAATTAAGTAAAAATTATACTGATAATTTCACTGTCCTTTGACCTACATTTACCTTATAAAGACCATGTTCTTATCCTGCTATCCCCTGATTTATGAAATACAGTGTGGCTTGAAAATTACGTGGCAGAAACAAAATAATCTAACGGGAGACCTGAAAAAAAAATGTATAACTACAAAGGTTCATTTAATTTAGACTATGTTCATTTCACACTTGATTCATGTTAATATAATTTTTTTGTTTGTTTCTTGGATTTAGTAATTATGTGGAAAACTCAGCACTTTGTTTTCTAAATTCTTCTTCAGACTGCTCAGGTGAAGCAGAGTGAGGAGAGACAGTATGTTTCAAATCACAAAATATAAAGAGGACTAAACTTGTTTGCAAGAGTGTCAGAGTAGGTGGGATGCACAAAAATGCCCGTAGGCACATCTTCAGTGTTGCTTATGTGCGGTCTGCTCAGAGTTGTAGGGGCATTATTCTCAAAGTAGGAAAGGACTTTATGTCAGAGTACTTTTTATACTCCTCCTCCCACCCGCAAGCCTCCTAAGTCATCGCTTTAACCAGTATTTTTCTTTGCTTTTCTGCCTTTTATGGTTGTTGCTATGTGGCTGGAGTCTCTGGGTGGTGCAAACAGTTAAGTATGGCTGCTAATCTAAAGGTTGGCAGTTTGAGTCCAGCCAGAGGCACCTTGGAAGAAAGGCCTGGCGATCTACTTTGGAAAACCCTATGTAGAACAGTTCTACTCTGACACACATGGGGTGCCATGAGTCGGAGTTGACTCGATGGCAACTGGTTTTTGATATGTGGCTTGCTTTCTTTTTAGGGGTGGTTGGCCTTGGCAAGTTTCCCTTCGGCTGAAATCATCCCATAGAGATGGCAGGCTCCTTTGTGGGGCCACACTCCTGAATAGCTGCTGGGTCCTTACAGCAGCGCACTGTTTCAAGAGGTATGTGTCCACCCTTCCAAACAGCTCCTTTTGGCTTTTATTTGCCAGTTCTTCCAATCTGTTCCTGTTCTACAGCATATTAGAGACTTGTGTGTCAGAGCCAGGCCTTCTGTCTGTGCCAGCGGCATTGTGGAAGTGAGGGGGGTGACATAAGGAATAAAGGGAACCCCCAGGAAGCCACTGCTATACGCTGGTGTTAAAGCAGACTCTGGGTTTAAGATGGGTTATTGGAAGGGAGGCAGCTATGCTAGTACTTCCCCTAAGAACATACCTGAGGGCAAAATCATATCCTGGTAGAGCTAGAAGAGACCTCAGATTATCTACTGTAATTTTTTTCACAAATAACGTGTACATTATACATTTTTTGCCAACTGTGCAACCCCCCACCCCCAGCATTATTTTTGTAAGCATGCTATGCCAATTTTTTTTTACATGTTGCTGACTTTAATTGACACTAAGAAGACCTAATTAAACTATGAAATAAGCACACCTAACATAACCTAATGATTTCACTTAAGATGATCTGATAAGGTTTTCACATTTAGCTGTTGAGCTAATGCACTATAATTATCAATTTAAATAGAAACAAAAGCACAGTTTCGATTGCTTATTTTCTGATTACTGGCGGGACTACCAAACTCGATCCATGACTTCTTGACCATGGCTTATACCTTGTTATACAATTATGATTAAAAGTAAAATTTTCAGACTATTTTTATACACATAAGCAGGTGATTAAAGAAAATGAACAGAATGATATGATTTACCTGTAATATGGGAGGATGGGTGAATTCATGTCTGGAAATGTCACGAGACATGCGCAGTATATGCATGGGCACGGTATGTGAGAACCACATGCTATATGTGTGGGCATGTTATTTATGTGTGCACGTTATTTGTGAAAAATACGGTAGTTATTAATGCTAAGGAATAGGTAGTACAGTTTTAGTGTTTTTGGTCTTTTGAATTTTCTTGGTGTTTTGTGTATTTTAGATTTCTCTATTTGTACCTTTTAGAAAGTCAGGTTGCATATATTTCATTTTTGACTTTTTTATAATTTAGTCCTGATTATTTCCTCTTGTCCCAAACATTTTATCAGTCCAATCTGAAGTCTTCCCAATCCAGAGGAGAGACCATGCAGGGGAAATTAGTGGGCCAGAGTCACAGGATTCATGGAGGCAGGGCCTGCAATAGAACCTGGCCCTCCTTTCTCCTTGTCCAGTGCCTGCTTAGGTCCTGGTTCATGGCCATTTCCTCACCATGAATTTTGGGTGTTTAACAATGTATACTGATATTTGGAAAAATATTGATAATTATTGGGGCAAGGTGATGAGCACATTGGTTCATTATACTATTCTAATTCTGTGTGTTTGAAGCTTGTCATAGTAAAAAGTTTTTAAAAACATGTATGATATTGTTGAAAAATTCTTTCAAGCAAAATTTGCTTTGTATGTTTTCGTTTGTGATATCATGTGGTACGTACCTTTGTCTCATTATGTATTTGCAATCCATCCATGTAGATTTTGTTCTTCTCTTTAACTGCCATATGAATTTGAACTCCTATCACAGACTAAGGAGCCCTGGTGATGCAGTGGTTAAGAGCTCAGTTGCTAACCAAGAGGTCACCAGTTCGAAACCACCAGGTGCTCCTTGGAAACACTATGAGGCAGTTCTACTCTGTCTGATAGGGTTGCTATGAGTCAGAATCAACTTGATGGCAACAGATTTTTTTTTTTTAAATCATAGACTAAACCACAGTTTATTTATTCCCCTACTGATGGATAGTTGGGTAGTTTCCATTCTTTCACTATTAAAAAGAGATGTTGTAGTAAGTGCCCACGTACATATCTCATTGTGAATACATGTGAGGCATTTTGCTGGGTGTAGAGTATGGGCTCCCTTCATTTTACTAGACAGTACCAGTTTACTCTCTAAAGTAATTGTGCCAGTTTATATCACAGCAGTGTTCTTGTTTCCTCACATCCCTGCTGAAATTTGTTGCTATAAAAATTTTTAATTTGTGCCAATCTTAGCATTTTTGAATATCCTTTTAATTGCATTTCCCCAATAATCTTTTCTTCTTTCGTGAATTCTTTGTTCCTATCCTTTGCCTATTTTTTTTTTATTGGATTATTTGTCTTTTTGTAATTGATTTGTAAAAGTTTTGGGTATGTTTTACGTACAAAGTCTTTGTTGTTATGTGTTACAAATACCTTTTTTTATTTGGGGGCATGTCCTTTCACTTTCTTTGTGGTCTTTTTCTTACAAAAATATTTTAAATTTCAATATATTTAAATGTGTCAATCTATTCCTTTAAAGCTTTATAAAAGCTTTTTATATCTTACTTTAAAAATCCCTATATAATGAAGATATTCTCTTTCTTCCTTAAAAATATTATATTTTTGCTTTTTTATATTTAAGGTTTTAGTCTAGCTGTAGTTTATTTTTGTGTATAGTGTGCAGAAGGGACCTAATTTTATACTTTTCTTTATGGGTAGCTAGTTTTCCCAGCATTTTTTATTAAACATTCCATTCTTTACCCATTGATACATGCCAACTCTGTCATATGTCAAATTCTCTAGGTTCTCTCTTCTATTTCACTTGTCTATTACAACAAATATTTATTTAATAAACTTCCATGTTGAAGGTGCTACAGAGAATACAAAGCTATGTTTTATATAGCCTTTGCCATTTCTGGAATAATAATTGAGTTTGAGAGTCTGTCTATATGCCAGTGGGTTTAATACAATCATGTGTTAACATCAGTGGCACAGACAATAAAGTTATATTCATTTATTAACTTAGCAAATAATTATTGAGTCCCCTAAGCTCCCAGGCATTATGCTATGAACTAAAGCTATAGTGGAGAACAAGACAGATAGGATCCTTGCTGTCACAGAGTTTACGATGTAGCTGTAGGAGCCCAGAGGAGGGAAACATTGCTGGTGTGATCAAGAAAAGTTTAGGGCACCCTTTGTAAAGTGTGGTCCTTTTACCACAATATTAGATTAATTGGCTTGTTAAAAATTTAGATTCCTGGGCCCCCCACCCCAGATCTACTGAATCTTTGGAGCTGAGATGCAGGAGTTTGTGTTTTTATCAAGCATCTCGGGTGATTCTTATGTACACTAAAAATTAAGACTCACTTGCTTAGTGGATAGAATAGAACATGGTCTAGACATTTGAAGAATGATTATGGGGAAGAATACAGTGGGGCAGCTATGACCCTTACCTTGTCCTATTCAACATATTAATCACTAAACTGAAAAAGGACACAGATGGAAATTTAATTATGTTTTTGGATGCCAGGAGTCTGGGAGGGAAAGCTAATATGTCGGAAGAGAGGATCATGATTGTGAAAAATCTTGATAGGCTGATCCCACCAGTATGGAATACGGACAAAGTAAAATGCTGCCTTTAGTTCAGGAAACATAACTTAAATGCAAGTGAAAAAAGACTCATGGGGTCTAGTGTCCTGCATCCTTAGTGTGAGTCAGCAATGTAGTTCGGTGCCCACAAAGTTAATTCAATCTTGGGCTGCAGTGACAGAATAGTATCCCAACAAAGGAACAAAGAGTCTTACTGTTCTCCATCTCCACTGTGGGAGATAAAAGCACTGCTTTGACCAGAGAGAACTGTGCTTAGTTCTGGGTGCCACACCATGAAAGAGAGACATGGTGCACCAAGAAGGGCAGTGGAAAAGAAGATGTCTCTCAACTATTTTGGATGCTCAGTCTTGAAGAGAATATTTATGGGGTCACATAATTAGCTCTTTTAAAATGTTTAATAGCTGATTATGTGGAATCACATTAGACTTGTTGCCTGTTGCCTCAAATACCACAGGCATTAATGGAGGAGATAAGATAATTTTTGTTTTACCGTAAGAAAGAGTTTTTTTTGGTTGTTTGTTTATTTTTAATTTGGGCTCCTCTTTATCACTAGGACAAAGATGCAATAGGCTATATGTGAGAGGAAACTGAGTTCTGTTACAGAGTCTGTTCAAGCTGGGGAGAGCGGAGAGAGGCTGTCTTCTAATATTGGTAGATAATGTCTAATGTTTAGAGTATAGTGGTGAGAAAGTAGAAGGCCAATTTGAAGGATGGCAAGTATTAGCTGAGGGGGCAGTGGTGGTTCAGCGGTAGAATTCTTGCCTTCCATGTGGGAGACTCAGGTTCAATTCCTGGCCAGTGCACTTCATGTGTAGCCAGGACCCATCTGTCAACAGAGGCAAGCGTCTTGCTATGATGCTAAACAGGTTTCAGTGAAGCTTCCAGACTAAGAAGGACTAGGAAAAAAGGCCTGGTGATCTACTTCCCAAAAATCAGCCATGAAAACCTTATGGATCACAACAGTCCAGTCTGCAACCAATCATGAGGATGGTGCAGGACCAGGCAGCGTTTTGATCTGTTGTGCATAGGGTCACCATGCGAAGGGGATCAGATCTGGGGTTTACGTGGTATAGTTAGAGGAGAGAAGCTGAAAAGATCTGGAATGCCAGGGTAATGAATTGCTACTTCATTCACTAGGCAGTGGGAAACCTCTGAAGGTTTTTAAAGCTTGAAATGTGTTCAAAGAGGAGTTTTAGGAGGTAACTCATTTGGAGATGTACTGGATAGATATGAGGGGTAAAACAAGGTTTTTTAATCTGTGGGTCTGTGAATGAGCTTAAATTACATGAAAAATCGATGCATGTGTGCCTTTTTGGAGTGACTCTAATTTGTCTGTGTTACCAAGTGATTAATACAACTAGGGTAGGAACTGGAGGGAGACCCCATTATAAGTCTATTGTGAAAATTGAGATAAAGGATGTAAAAAGAAAGGAAGAGAGAGAAAGTAACAGAAGGTGACAGAAATCAATAGAAGTTGGTACAGTGTGGCAGAAGGAGACTTGGATCTGGCCATCAAGATAAAGGTTACAGTTCTAGCTCCTCCAATTATTGTTTAACTTAACCTCTCTGAGCCTCATTTTTCTTGTCTGTAAAATGAAGATAATAACATTT